ACTCCAGGGCTCCAGAGGAGAGCTCTCCGAAAGCGGAAGTCCCTCCTGCCTCCACCACCAAAAACTAACCTTAAAATCGCAGGGTTGGGCCGGGCGGTGGCGGTGCACACACCTTTAATTCCAACACTCAAGAGGTAGAGGCAGGCGGATCCCTGAGTTTAAGGCCAGCCTGGTCTACAGAGTGAGTTCTAGGACAGCCAGGGCTACACAGAAAAACTCTGTCTTTAAAAAAAAAAAAAGTTGCAGGATTATTTTACAAAGGAAAGCTGATTGTTCTCATGCTAGTGACTCGAGCTCTGGAAAATGCACCTCCAATTTGTAGGGAAGCCCCAGAAATCCTACAAATATAACATACCGGGATTTGCTAATTTAACTTTCTCGCCACCTTTCCGCCTTTCGGGCAGCTCACTCGGAGGGTTAGGATTAAGGCTACACAGCAGTTTCTTTCTGCAGAGAGTAGACACGCGCCCTCTTGGCGTCGTCGCGGGATAGCCACGAGCACTCACAAGGAAGGGCTCCCTCCTTCACGCCCGAATAGTCGTCTGTCGAAAGTCTGGACCATTTGTCCTCTCTTGCCACTTGTGAGGTCGAAATGCTGACCTCCCCACAGAGACACCTACCCTAAACTTTAGGGCTTTGGGCCATCTCAAAGTTCAAGCTTCTCAGAAGGAACAAAGGTTTTCTAAAGATCTCCACCCCTTGACCCCTCCCCTTACTTCAACTTTTTCTCTAGCTACACGCAATCCGCCTCCTTTCTAAGGCTTGGCTGGGGACCAGTTTAAATCACTAGGCTCCCATTTCTTGATAACAGCGTGCTTTGAGCTTTTGTTCTCTCAAAGTAGGATTGCACACTGAAAGAAGGACTGAAGATGAACAGTTTGACCCTTTAGGACAGTTCACGCTATGGCCAGGCGCGGCCCTAGGTCGCCAGCCTCGCCAGGGCTATTCACGCGATCCCCGCCCCCTTCACACAACATTTCAGCCGGGGCTCATCTACACAAACTTTCAGACCACACAAGTGCCTCTTGAATTTATTTAAGTTAAAAGAGTGCTAGAAGGATCTAGCTAAGGATGTTGGTCACGTCTTCGCAAAGCTGAGTACAAATCCAAATTGCTTTTTCGTTCGTTTTCCCAGCAAAACTGAGCACAGTCTCCAACAAATAGAAATCTGCTATCCAGACAATTGAGCATGGTCAGTTAGTTGGCCTCTGGAATGCACAGTATTGTTAGCTTGTCTTTGGACTTGTTCCTTTTCTTTTTTGAATATTATTTTTATAGTGAGAAATATGTATAGAAGTGTTTTGGTATTAAGAGCTAGCAGGAGGCTGGACACTGTGGCACAGGACTTTATTCCCAGAACCCAGGAGGCAGAGGCAGGGGAATCTCTGACAGTTTGAGGCCAGCAGTCTCCATAGTGAGCTCCAGACAAGCCAGGGTTATATGGCAAGACTCTGTCTCAAAAAATTAGAGGGTGGAGGGAGGAGAGAGACAGACAGACAGATAGTGCCAGACACAGAAGACAACTCTTGAGAGCTACAGCACAAACACATATAATTCTTAGTTTCAGAACATTTACATCTGTACTTCACAATGTAATCTAACACACACCCATTGCATAAACCAAGGAGCTTCTTACTCAAAAAGTGAAAAATCTATGAACCTATGACATCTTGATATTTAAATGAATTAGGGATTGATAATATCAAAATCTGAATATGCACACAATTCTAAGTTTCTTGACAGTTTTGAAATGCATGTTGCATTCTTTGAAGAAAACCTCCATAATAAGAAATGTGCAGCCAATCTTAAAACTATTTTATCACTTGTCAGCATTGGCTCAGACACTTCTGTGTGCATTATTTGCATGAACCGCAGACATAGTATGGATTTGTCCTTTTTAAAAAAAGATTTGTTGCTAGGCGTGGTGGTGCACACCTTTAACCCCAGCACTCAGGAGGCAGAGGCAGGTGGATCTCTGTGAGTTCAAGGCCAGCCTGGTCTTGCACAGCGAGTTCCAGGACAGCTGGTGTGGTTACACAGAGAAAACCTGAAATATTTGTTTATTCTATTTTATATGTAGGAGTGTGTTTGCCTGCATGTATGCATGTACTCTATGTGTGTGCCCAATGTCTGTGGAGGCCACAAGTCTGTGGAGGGAAAAAGGTGGAAAGAGGGTGTCAGATCTGGAACTGGAGTTAGGGATGGTTGTGAGCCTCCATGTGGGTGCTGGTTATCGAACCCAGGTCCTCTGCAAGAGTAACGAGTGAAGTGCTGAGCCATCTCTCCAGCCCTTTAGGTGTAGACTTGTCAAAGGGAGGCCTGTGCATACTCAGGGAATCGTAACACCATAAAATGATAGCAGCATAAAAAAGTGGGGAGTCAGACACCCCCATGCTGCTAACAAGCAGTGAGAGAATTGCATTGTGTGTTCCACTGGCACTAAGTGTTAGACCCCGCTTGATGTCGTTGTTATTCTGGGCTACACAAGGCTCATCAGCTTTCCCTTTAAAGCTTGTTTTTAACTGAATTATGATTATATTCTGCCAATATTTTGTCTGTAGGTCACCCAGCACGCCCTGCTAGGGGCAAAGAAGAAAAGAAGAAGAAGAAGAAGAAGAAGAAGAAGAAGAAGAAGAAGAAGAAGAAGAAGAAGAAGAAATTTGCCCAAAGAGACGTGTTTCTACTGATAGCCAAATAAGCCTTCCTTTGTTTTCTATTGCATTAATTTAGTGGCTTGTCTGTGCTGGCAGGCAGCCCCTGAGGAGAGGTCCCGGGCTGACACAGCAGGTTCCTCTCATCACTCTGGTATTTGTTTTTAATGGTCTTTGATCATTTCATCAGATCCTACTGTTCCATCCTTTACTCCACTCAAGTTTATGAACAAACACAAACTCCGCATCCACTCTCACATGTTCCTCCAACTCCCTTCCTTCCAGCCAAGGCCAAACTGGCCCTTACTGGGTTTTCTTTTAGGGGGATTTGAAGAGTGGTTAAGTGTTCGGTGTCAATGGTCGCTACTTATAGAATAATGATCACGTGCACCTGCAGCCTGTGGCGTAGCCTACAAGTTTTACTCTGAATCTATGTTTTGCTTAGATCACATTGCCTTCCGGGATACTCTGCTTCTGAGGGTTCCTAGACAGGGCCAGAGACCCCAAAGAAGACACTCTGAGAGGGCCAGATGCTGTATGCTGAGGACACAATGTCTTTTCATGTCCCGTCACTTCAGTCCTATCTACAAGGGAAATCAAACTGTTCTGAGAGGATCTAGTGGTAACTAGATGAAATAATGCTTTTAAATTTAGGAAGCTGGTTTTTAAAGGAAGAAATGAAAACATGTATCAAAAAGCAAATTAAAAATCACTTCCATTTTGACAGAAAAATCTGAAGGTCGGGGAGCTGCAAAGACCTTAATTTTCCTTTTCCTTACCCTCTGCACTCCATCCAGTCTTGCTCGTTAGTACTCTGGGGAAACCGAGCCAACACGCACACTCCCTGGCCGCACTCTTCTCGGAAATTCAACTTATTTTCAGTCCCCACGAGAGGAGGAGTGGGACACCTGCGGATAATCTCTTTCTCTGACTCGGGTAGACTGCTAAAGTCACCCCCCCACCCCCCCAGACGCTCCTAGTTTAAAGGTCTTTGCAAAAAGTATCTCCAGAGGTGGAGTCCAGTGACACCCGCGACTCCTCCAAGATGGTACTCGGCCCAGGACTCACTCCTGGGGTTCTGGTTCTGCGCCTAGGAGAAATCAGTAGAGTGACAAGAGGGGCCGTGCGCGGCGTGGGGGGAAGGGCTGACAAGCAATTCGGAGCAAGTACCCCCCGCCCCGCTCCTGTGGTTGAAAAAGCTGGAGATTCTGGAGGACGGGCCCAGTGTCTCAATACCGCCCCCCCCCCCTCCCAAGTGGAGCAGAGGTCACACAAGTGTCAGCGTGGCCCATTCGCTCCTAGGAGCAGCAGCCCCCCTGCCTCTGCCACCCTCACGGGAAGTCACACTGATCTAACCTATTGTCGATACCCACTCCTTCTTGCACCAGAAGCCCCCCAAAGTACGACAGCGCGTGAAGCCTTACTGTGCAGCAGGTCAAGTGAGTGCGTTTATGTCTTTAAATGCCTATCCACTGCTCCCCCACCGACCTCCCCTTCTAGGGGACGTCTCTGTGAATCCCCACCCCCCTCATCCTCCTCCGCGAGTTTCTCTAGAACTCAAACACACTCGCTCACAAAGTGCCTACTGCCTGGCACCCGTATGTACCCCTTCCCTTTCCTAACCAAACGAAGGGTTTTTTTTTTTTGTTGTTGTTGTTGTTGTTTGTTTGTTTGTTTATTTGTTTTTAACCGTCTACTATCTGATACAGCCCCAAAGAGGCTTTGCCTTCTCGGGGATTCTGACCCCCATTAACTAATTCCGCGGCTCCCATAGTCCGCGAGGCCAGACTGCACTGGGTGGGACGCGTACGCGCGCAGGACGCGCGCATCCGGGCAGGGGCAGCCCCTGCTGCCTTGAGGACCCGGGAGGGAGCAGTACTCCGGGTGCACCCCCCTCCCCGCTCCATGGGCCCCCAGCGCTCGGGCCCCTAATGAGCTGCTGAAAGGGAGCGGGCTCCGGTGCGCGTGGCTCGCAGGCCTCCCGGAGTCCCGGGAACACTGATTGGCCAGCTGCGCCTCGCGACCTCCTTTCATTAATAAATTAGCGGCACGCTCCAGCCGAGCGCGAGCCACCAATCACAATAGACAGCGGCGGCGACAACGGCCGCAGCTTGAGCCGCTGCCGCCGCCGCCGCAGCTTCGGGAGCTTGGGCTGCAGCCTGGAGCGCCAACAGGAGCTTTAGAACCATTTTATGCTGATTAGATAAAGGGGGGACGGAGGGGAGGGGGTGATGAAGGAGGAGGATGGATGGCCGGGCCAGGGGAGGGAGAGAGGGACTAAAGAAAGGGAAAGAAATGAATGATGATAATACGATGAAAAGAATAAGCTGGGGAGGGAGAGCGGGGGACCAGGGGGAGGAGGAGAGGGCGGGGGAAGGGTAGGTGAGGAGGGGGCCCCGGGGCAGATCTGATTGTTTTCTTGGTGGTATATAAGGGGTTTTAAGGAGAGTCGTGTGCCAGACACGCAGCCACTGAACCACAAGCAGCTCGGCTTTAACTGGAGTGCCTGGGAGTCGCGTGCCAGCAGCCGCACGGCCAGGGACTGACTGACAGACAGACACGCACGAGCACGACAACACACGAGACCCGGGCGGGCTGCCGCGGTCGCCGGGGCTCTTGGCAAAGTCACCCAGCAGAGAGGCCCCCCGCAGAGGTGCGCCTAGGAAGCGCCAAGCCCTCGGCGCTCCAAAGGAGCGAGGGACAACGCTCTTGGTTGCCGGCTGCGGGGACATTCCCGGACACGCACCAGAGCAGCAGCTGGTACCGGGGACACATCTGGAGCCCAGTAGGTAAGTGTGCGCTCCGCGCCTCTCAACTTCGCAGGCAGTTTCCCCGCACAGGCTGACTTTCGGTCGCCCTAGACGCAGTGGCTTCTGTGACCCGCACGGTGCACGGTCAGCTGGTGGCTCAGCCAGGGGCCCTCCTCCCCAGCTCCATTCTCGCCTTCTTCACGGGTGCACCTTGCGGGGACCCGACAGAGACACGTCTACCGGTCTGTTCTGGAAGTAAATTTCATCTGCCTCTTTTTTTGCAGGATGTTCGTCAAATCCGAGACTCTGGAGTTGAAGGAGGAAGAGGAGGTGCTGATGCTGCTGGGCTCGGCTTCCCCGGCCTCGGCGACCCTGACTCCGATGTCCTCCAGCGCGGACGAGGAGGAGGACGAGGAGCTGCGCCGGCCTGGCGCGGCGCTTGGGCAGCGTGGGGCGGAAGCCGGGCAGGGGGTGCAGGGTAGTTCGGCGTCCGGCCCTGGGGGTTGCCGGCCAGCGCGGCTGCTGGGCCTGGTGCACGAGTGCAAGCGGCGCCCCTCGCGCGCACGGGCGGTCTCCCGAGGAGCCAAGACGGCGGAGACAGTGCAGCGCATCAAGAAGACCCGCAGGCTGAAGGCCAACAACCGCGAGCGCAACCGCATGCACAACCTGAACGCGGCGCTGGACGCGCTGCGAGAGGTGCTGCCCACTTTTCCCGAGGACGCCAAGCTCACGAAGATCGAGACGCTCCGCTTCGCCCACAATTACATCTGGGCGCTCACCGAGACCCTGCGCCTGGCGGACCACTGCGCGGGCGCCGGCGGCCTCCAGGGGGCGCTCTTCTCCGAGGCCGTGCTGTTGAGCCCCGGAGCCGCGCTCAGCGCCCCGGGGGACAGCCCTTCGCCCTCCTCCTCCTCCTGGAGCTGCACCAACAGCCCTGCGTCCTCTTCGGCGTCCTCCAACTCCACGTCCCCATACAGCTGCACTTTATCGCCCGCTAGCCCCGGGTCAGATGTGGACTATTGGCAGCCCCCACCTCCGGATAAGCACCGTTATGCACCTCACCTGCCCGTCGCCAGGGACTGTATCTAGAGGGGCGAGCCTCCCTCTCCAGTCCTCTACCTGGCCCTCCTCCACCCCCTTCTCCCGCCTCCACCTCCCACGCCCTGGACTGCGCTGCACAGAGCAGAGGTAGCCGCGGCAATCCCTCGGCAGCTGATGCATTCTTGGGCTGTGGGTTAACTTCACGCAGACACCGTCTCTGATGTATTGAAGATGTGAGGATTTATGGTCAAAGAGGATTGTGGCGTGTAGGGTTGGGGTGGGGGGTTTGGGAGGGGAGACTTCGTGAGACTCTAAAGACAGACACTGAGAAAAGATGCCGGTGCCATAACTAATAGTTTGCAGAGCGGGCTGGCGCTCCTCCCCTCTCTGAGCTGCTGGAGGAGAACTCCAGGGGCAGTTCGTGTGAATCTCACAGAGGGAACGCAACGGGTCCCTGTGATCTTTTCACCTTCGTTTCTACATAGAGATGTTAATGTCAGTCGAAAGAAATGTATCTTAGCATCTGAATGAATTTCCCGGTAATAATATTATCCACACATTTGCAATGGCTGGCATCTGCTCTATTCCCATTGCTGTCGGCAGGCTGTGGGAAATTCACCTGTCAAACCAAACTTTCCTTCTCTGATATGCACTTTGTTCTTTTTCCCAGATTCGTCACAATGCCTATTGTCCCGCCCTTCTCTTTCCTTTTTTTTCTCCATTTTGCCATCTGTCTCTTATGATTTATAAGGGGAAAAACTTGTTTTGTTAGAGGGCCAGGTTAGAAGTCATTGTATAATTTGTAGGCTTTTGTAAGGATTGAATACAAGCGTGGAAATTTAGGCTGAACTCTCTATCAAAAGGAAAAATGTGGAGGAAAAGGGAAAAATCAGGAGGGAGGACTGCTTCATGCATTATTTATCTCGACCTTTTAGGGGAGAAGGAACTCCCCCATCCTTTCAAGAGATTAAAAATAAATCAACAGCCTGAAATCCTAAGCAGACACGGGGCATTACCAGGATCAGCCACACACGTGTTCCCTTCTATTTATTTTGAAGAAAATTTTCATGGGAAAAGTATGTATTTTTTTGTATATTCTACAGAGTTTATTCTAGTATGTATTTACATCTTGAAGAACAAGAAAATTGTTTTGTGATTAAGCTATAAATAAAGTATATAATTTTCATAAATTTGTATTGAATTATTTATTTTTGCTGATGTGGTCTTTAATGCAGAACGAATTGTATTTTACTAAAGTTCTTGGCATGTTGGACTGGGTATATTTGTATTTCTTGGGTAATGTTTGGAGTTTCACTAAAAAAAATTACAAAATATGGAATCAAATTTGAAACACCAATACTGAGATAAGAGTGTAATTCATCACAAACCCAAATTTTGCCTTAAGAAATCACTTCTTAGAGGCAGGCAGATCTCCATGAGCTCAGAGCCAGCATGGTCTAAAGAGTGAGTTCCAGAACAACCAGGGCTACACACTGAGACCCTGTCTCCAAATAAATGAATCATTCACTTCCTAAGCTGGGGAGGTAGTTTAGTGGTAGAGCACTTGCCCAGCATGCCAAAGTCCTGATGTCTAAATAAATAAATACATCTTTAGTCAAAGAAAAGAATAAGGGGAGGGGTCTTAAATAATAATTACATCACAACAGGCTCAGAGTTCAGAAAAAACTTTGATTTTAATAGTGACTGGGTCGGGGTGGTGATGCACACCTTTAATCCCAGCACTTGGGAGACAAAGGCAAGGGATCCCTGTGAATTGGAGGCCAGCCTGGTCCACAGAGTGAGTTCCAGGATACAGCCGGGCCTATAGAGAGAGACAGACTGTGTGTCTGTTGATAAAAAGTAAGAAAAAGAGAAACAGAAGAAAAGAAATTTCTTGGTAGAATGTGCAACTTTTTTTTTCCTCGTTAACTTCTTTTGGATTCACCTTTCATCTTTAAACTGTAGGAACTGTGTATTATCCCCAAGGACTCCCCCTTCCAGTTCTAACTTGCAGAACATAACTATATTTTTAGTTTGTTACGGGTGGCTGATTTTGTGCTAGCCACTTTGACAAGCTAGTTGGCTTCCAAAGGTGAAGTTCTAGAGAGAAGGAGACGTTCCGAGTTGGTTCAAAGCGTTCACTGAAGGAAACGGCTCTGCCTTCTAATCTTTGTTAGAGTCATTTGAAGAGGAGGCAAGAGTGACGCCACTCACAATTCACTCTCAAACACTTCGATGGCTGAAAAGTGACCAAGTAAAAGTTGACCACATTCAAGAATCAAGTCCCAGGTGAACAGATGCACACAGCAAAATAAAATCATGTAATTAAAAAAAGTTGTTCATGTACTTTCTTCCTATCAATGTCCCATTTGATTTTGTCCTGACTAAACCCTCGGTTCCTTTACATCAAGAAATAACTGCTTCTCCTGGGGTTTCTGTCCGAAATTCTCCACAAATAGGGAATTTTTAGTGTTTAACACCTTTGAAATTTTAATATTTATTTTATATGTAAGAGGGTTTTGCTTTTTTTTTTCCTGTGTGTATGTCAGGGCACCATGTTGTGCAGTGCCAGGAGAGGCCAGAAGAGAGGGTCACCACCATGAGATTGCTGGGAACTGAATCTAGAGCATCTGGAAGAGCAACTGGTGTTCTTAAAAGCCACCTTCCCAGCTCCAGTGTTTAATATCGTTCATAATTACATTTTAATCAAAGGAAGAACCAACCCAAAGATTTGTTCAGCTTTCATACTAGACAAAAAAAGGGTCTGCTGGACCCACCCCCTTCTTGTGATAAGCTAGGAATTGAACCCAGGGTGTCATGGATGCTAGGCAAGCACTCTTATCAATGAGCTGTTCTTCTGCCTCAAAAACAATTCCTTGTAGTTTAGATCCCCTTGCTCACGGGGTGATGATATGTTTTGGGGACAAAGTGGTATTTTTCTTATTCATGTTTGTTCCTTTAGTACTTAAAAAGCTACCCAGCTAGCAGAGGGTGGCAGTGAGGACACCATGGCATCAAAACCGACAACACGGTTTTGATGCCAAGGGTATCATCCTGTGGATGATGATTACAGTCCTTTGGAAAACATCACATCTCCTTTGGAAAAACCCTGAAGAAACAGCAGTGGAGAGCCAGGTCTTCTAAGGCCTTAAGCAGTAGAGGGCACAGCCATGATAGCTTTGAGTAATGGTTGCATGGTTGATGACTCACCACCTCCAGGCATCTGGTAGCTTCCCCTCTACAGTTTCTCCAGGCCCAGGGGTTTGCCTACTCCCTGAAGGTGGGGGCTTGCAGGTAGTCCACGCATACGCGTCATGTGCTACAGCCAGGGGTTCTGGCTTCGCACCCCAGAGCCCTAAGGTAGCTCTTTCTTTCCCCATTTAACAGCAGGTTATCATACACCAAATTTGGTGTAGTTGTTTTTATGGTGCCCAGTCATCTTCAATAGTTAAAAATGCTGTCCTCAGGGTAGTGATGATGACTCAGTACAGAGCATGCTTGCTGTATAGTAGGACCTGCATTTGATCCCTAGCGCCCAAGTTAAAAAAAAAAAAAGCCAGGCGTGGCAGTTCTGCTGTAATCCCAGCGCTAGAGAGGCAGAGACAGGCAGATTCCCGTCTACTGCCTGGTCAGCTAAGCCCAATCTGTGAGCTCGGGTTCAGCGATACCCATTTTTTTCTTTCAAGATTATTATTTAATGGCAGCTTTTCTCTCTTCCCTTTCTTCCCTCCACCTCCCCCCCCCCCCCCCCCATGTACCTCTCCCTGTTCTCCTCCAAAATCATGGCCTCTTAAAAAAATTGCTATCGCATGCATATCTGTGTATGTAGTACATATATGTTCCTAAATATAACCTGTTCAGTCCGTATGACGCTACCTATATGTATGTTTTCGGCGCTGACAGTTTGGCACCGAACAGCCACTTGGTGTGCTCTCCACACCCATAGAGTCTCACCAACGTGGCAGCCCAAATGTGAGCTGAATAAATATGACACCAATGAACAGCGAAAACTGGATGGAGAGCAGCAAATGAGGCCTCAGCGCTACACACAGACCCGGCTTGATACAAAACAACAAAAGGTGAGAAGGGATGAGGGAGAGTCCTGATGTTGACTTCTAGCTTACACACACACACACACACACACACACACACACACACACACACACACACACACACACACACACACACACACACACACACTGCTGTTCTTCCTGGCTCACCTAGCCCTGGGAGTTCTCCATGTCTGTCACTCCCAAAGCTAGTGGGCTGAGTCCTTTCAAACCCTAGTAAGGATGAACACAGGCAGAGGATAGAAGCGACTGCTGCGTCTGCAGTTGGCACCAGAGCTTTCCCGTTCTCCCTGCCCCACACCGTGAGGTCTTGGTGAGCTGGGTCTGTCTGCACTACGGTCTCTCGGTGATTCCGGACCGGCAGGCTCTCATCAAGACAGGCTTCAAACAGCGCTGCCGAGATGCTCTTCGGGGGACAGTTCACTGCGCTGCGCTGCTGTTCCTAGATCTTTCTAGCAATGGGGCTTAGTTTCGGTTGGTCCAGTCCTCGAGGGACAGTCGGAAGTTTGACAGTGGATGCATTTATTGGTTGTAATGCATAAAACGATCTGAGGCTGAGAAGTGGGGAGAAAGAGCAGGACCTGGCCCAGAGAAACGTCTGCGTTCAGAGGAGCATCTGGGGCTTATGGGCGGTTCCAGGCTCTGTTGGAGGAGAGGGTCGTCGGTGGCCTTGGCCGCTAGGGCTGGGTCGTCAGTACAGCTCGGGAGGCCTTCACGCCCACGCTGGCCTCCGCAGAGTCACTGGACGGTCGCGGTCGCAGGTGCTGAGGCTGCGGAAGGGCTTGGCCCGCAGAGCAGGCTGGGAGCTGTGGAGCCCCTCAACCCCGAGCATCTCCTGCATCCCACAGCCGTGGGCGGGTGGTGACTTCTGGGCACCGACACCTGGAACCCGTTAAAAGCTCCTTCTCAGGCGGGTCCAGGACCTCCCCCCACCCGCCTAAGGCTCCCAGGCAAGCTTTGAATGTATTAATTAAATAAAGCAGGCTGCCCTTGAATCGGCCAGTGGTGGGAGCTCCCAGGAGCGTGAAAGTCCTGGCCTGCGAATCAGCAAAAGAAATGTGTGAAAGGAGAATTAGTGAAATTAGGTTAGGCCAATAAAACGTGAGGGCTGCAGCACCCCTCCCTTCCTGCTCCCCAAGCCTGGGGCTAGGAGGGCTATCTGGTCTGATCTATTGTTTCCCGCCCTGGCAGGGGGTTCATTGTGTGATAAATAATTCCCCCTCCGTTTTCTTTTATTCTTACTAAAAATGGGTATTTGCATAATCAGTGCTTTGAAGTGGCCAGAAATCAGAGGTTTGGTGTCCCCCAAGTCGGCTATTGGGAGTGAAGCAACAAAGCTCGATCCAGATCTCTCTTTCATTTCGCTGCGAGCGTGTGGGGCAGACTGTCACTAACAGCGACGTTAAGCCGCTGCCTCCCTTTTAAAAGGATCTACTTTAATGATTAAACTTAAGGAATGTCCAAAGTGTGTGCGTGTGTGAGAGACGAACGCTCTCACCCCTCTCCGGCTTCTGCCTTTGGAGTTCATTGTCCGCCGAAGTTTGTTTTCCAAGGCTCTTGAGGTGGGGGCGGGGTGAGCCTGGATTCAGGCCGTCCCACGTGGCTTGGAGAGGGTCCCCACAGGGGTCCCCAGGGATCATGGGAGGCAAGGTCTGCTGTAGAGTGTCTTTCTACACCCCCCTCCCCCCCTCAGCGTTTGATTTTCCCAGTTTGGTTTCTCCAAGCCAAGATGGACCATGTTCATCTAATGGAGGATCCGGATCCAAGTAGAGAGATTCAGTCCCGGGGTACAATCTGAAGGTGGGGGTGGGAGGGGGGCGCAGATTGGAGCCAGTTTTAGCGGGTACTCTTCCCGGGATAGAAGAGACCCAGTCATGCGGAAAGCAGAACGCCAAAGCCGGTGTGTCGAGCTATTATTATTCCCACTGCAAGGTGGCCGGGTGGGAAAGTTTCCTGATGGTGCATGCTCTGTAATAAATGACTTTTCCTCCCAGTACCAAGGTTCAGGGGCGGGGAGGTGGGGACGGATGTGCCTGCGATCTCTTACTTTTTAGGGTTGGATTATTGATGCGAAGCTCCTAGGCCCCGGCCCAAGCTCAGCCTGAGTACAACCACCATCG